CTGATATGCTTTAGACTGCCCTGTAAGAAAAGTGGTACGTGTGATATCCCGTGCCATTACGGGTTTACGCGTGAATTTTGGACCGCAAATAGACCGGATTTTGCAGCAGTTTACTAAGCCAAAATACACGTATTTTGGCACGTTCACTAAAATAACGGAAAGGCATGGGATAGTGCACCGTGATTGACATGTGAGGTACGGGATGGTTTCTTTTCACCGTGCCAATTTTGGCACGTTTACCCATAAATTTTGAATATTAAATGGACCGGATTTTGCAGCAGTTTACTAAACCAAAATCCACGGATTTTGGCACGCTTTTTGGCACGTTTTTCTACGGAAATTGCAGTGAAGGAACGGTTTGTGGACTGTGATTTGCACGTTAAATTTTTTGTGGAGGTACGTAATGGTTGTTTTTCCCGTGCCATTTTGGACTGTACTACGTGCCACTTTTCTTACAGGGCTGAACTTCTGGATTATTAGCTAAAGCAGCCACGATCCATGTTAAACTTGCAGATACTGCATCCTAAAATTTTAAATATTAGTTAATTTAAAGCTTATGTAAAAAAAAAAACAAAGCTATTAGACTACTTACGGTTCCAGCAGAAAATATATTATCAATCATATAAAGAACATCCAATTCCTCAATGATTCCTTTGTCCTTCTTGCAAAGTAAGTTTTTAATAATACAAGGCTTCTTCTCTTCATCATCTTCAACTTCTTTGATCAATTTTCCGAGAAATGCTTCCATATTTGTTCTACTTTCTATTATTTTATTACGTAAACTATGGTTTGGAATAAGTTTTATTATAGGAAAAAATTTCAGATAATCTATTTGCTATTTTAGCGAGTTCTATATTTTCTCCTATTAAAGTTTCAAATTCTGTATAAAATGGATCATCGATATTTTCTGTGCGCTTGTTTAACATAAGAGGAACATAACGTTTAAACTTGCGAGTTGAAAACAATATTTAGGATAATAAAGGTTTTGCATAAGTCTGCGAAATTCATCATCGAGTAAATCAGAGTTTTCTTTTACAGTCGATGACCTAAAGCTCCATGCACTATTTTAAATAAAATTTTATGGTACTTTACTTTTAATAAAAATAAAACAC